TGCTACAGAAAATGCTAGAGGAGCTTGGGGGAAGGATAGCTCATACCAGACTGGGCCAGTTGCAAGTTTCTCTGAAGAAGTGGAGTTCAGTGAAGTCCAGTAAGTCAGGATTATAAGAGAGGAGAAAAAAAAAAAAAAAACTACCAGCTTGGACTGAAGCCAACAGCAGAGACTGAAGAGTCTGTTGTAATAATTTAGCCAAAAACTGGGTAGTACAAGGGGGCGGAGGGCACTGGGCAATGTAAAGAAAGGGCAGAAAATAGGAAGGAATCATGGAAAAGTCTTGGTGACTGATTGGATTTGGTGTGGATATGAAGATGAAGGAACTGGATGATTTCAAACTTTTGTAACCTGTGCCATTAACAGTAATGTGAAAAACAGAGTTTAGAAAGTAGTGCTATATAATAACATTAGTATTTGTTATAATTTTAACGTATTTTGGATAAGTAAATTGCACTGAGGTATCCACAGAGGGGCAAAAAGCAGTACACACAATATTCTATCTTTTTTTCCCTTTTTGTTTTTAGTTTATTATATGATTACATTCCCAATGGGGAGTTGGTCCATGTACATAACACATCTTAATTTTTTCACAGTACGCTATCTCGATGCTTACAATGTGTGAGAGTCAAAGCTGAGCCTCAGCTAGTTCTTAAAATACTGAAATATTTCCACACCAGTTGGCATCTTAACCTGAGTGCCTTGAATGCTATACATCACTCTAGCACCACACACACACACACACACACACACACACACACACACACACACACACACACACTACACACTGCCCCATTGCTCCAGTCCCTTTACAGACCTTCAGACCTCTGGAGCTAACCCACACTACTACTGTGTCTGTGCTGTGTGATCAGCTTCTGATAGGGCAGTGTTGGTAGTACCAGGCAAAATATGCTAAAACCAAATGCCAGTAGCATTCAGAAGAGGAAGTAGTCCCTTTAGCTTGAGCCAGTTATTCATACAAATGGCTGTGGAGGGTGCAGACTGAAGATACACTGTCAGATGTGATGCCAGCAACTAAGGCTGCTCAGTCTAACAGGAAACCAACATAAAATAAAGCATTGCAATCCCGAGCAGTAGCACAGAAGTATCTATAAAATTCAAAAGAAGGTGCAAAGGAAAGAACAGTCAATAATTCAGTCTATGGAGGAAGCATAGTGTCACAAAGAAGGTGATACAAGACCTGAGTAGAGAAGAATGAACAGGAATCTGCCAGGCAGAAAAAGGAAAGAGACAAACCATTCCAAGCATGGAGATATCAGCATTATATTTGCCACATCCCAGTACAGTGCATATAAAACAATGATATGACCATTGTGGAATACCTAGCACAGTGTCAATAATAAGTAACAATAGGTCTGGGGATTTAGCTCAGTGGTTTCGGTGCCTTCCTCACAAGCACAAGGACCCAAGTTCAATCCCTGGTACCAAAAAAATAAATAATAATGACTAACAATAAATATTAGAGAGACTTTTCCTTTTCTGATTTTGTTTTAAAAGTTGATATCAAAATTCATTTGCATTATCCCAGCCTACACTCGCTGAACAAGGGATACAGCAGTCAAGATATTTTGGGAAGCAGTGGTCAGTCAGCTTAGTACTTAAAAACGAAGCCCACAGATCCCACAGCATCAACTAGAGTCTCCTGCACCTGTGACTAGGTGCAGGCAGGGGTGAGCCTTGGTGCTGCAGCAAGGCATCCACATCCACAGATGTGCAAGATCCAAGGTTGTTGTCCTCTAGTCATGGAGACATGCTCAGTATACATGAGTTCCCTTTCCTTTTAAGGTAGTCAATTTTTAGAAATTAGATTACATAAAAAGAGGCAAAATACGTTTTTTAAGTCTCTGTAGGCTGCCCTGATCTTGCCATTTAAAGCCAAATGTTTGAAGGGAAAGTAGCATTCCACGTCAAGAAGAGGGTTGACACCAGTGCTTTTCAATATAGTTTTATGAGCTGCTCCCTCAACGGATGCAGCCACCAGTGTTCAGGAAGTGGAAGAGGTTTCCAACAGTGTTGAAGGACAGCGTCTGCAGTGTGACCCAGGGTTCAAACTGCATAAAAATAAAAATTTACTTACAAAGGATAACAAGTACTTCCTTACTTTCCTATCTGATGAATCAGAGCCATTGTCTGATTTGTAGTTCCTTGTTTAAATTGAGTTATTAAGTCACAGTGATGCTGGCCAAACATAATGGTCACATGCTATGAGGAACTTAACAAAGGTACCAGTTGTATTAAGGCTTTTTCCTTTTTTGTTGTTGTTGTTTTGTTTTCCTAGGTGCTGGGGATCAATGTATTGAGGCTTAAACACATATATTCATTTTTGCATTAAGATGAAATAAGTACCAAACTTTTCAAAATGTTTTTAGTTCCTTTGCAAATGTTCTGTGATATAGTGGAAAGAGAAGGGAATCTAAAGAAAATTTAAGTCTCAGTGCCAGTTCTGCTATGTATTCGTTACTTGAACAAGTTATTTCATTTTTCTGGGCTTGTTTTATCCTGTGTAAAAGGAAAAATAATACCTACCTGTGAAGTTGAAGAGATCTTGTGATTAGTTTGGGTAGTTGCTATGTCAAAGTGCCCAGCAAGGGCCTGTAGGCAGAAGTCACTGCCAAAAACGTGCACAAACATATATAACAATATATCTTATCAGTGTCTAACAATGTCACTTAAGAGTAAAAAATTATGACATAAAACTTCAGTAAATTGTTCTGAATATTCACTTTAAAAATATGACCTGCAAAGTCGTATTTTTTAAAATTCCAATTATCTTGGAACCAACTATCTTCCACATAATAGTGTTTTGGTGGCAGGAAGAGCCTCTCATATACCAAGTAAGACGTGACCCATTATGTAATATACTTTTTCTTTGGACTTTCTGTCCATTTACCAGTCTCCAATGATATGACATGTATAATATACCTTTAGTCCTCACTGCTGTATAAATTAGTTTTGAGGAATGATACCAATTTCAGAAATAAAACATTGAATGCTTTGAATATTTTATTTATAAAAACTCTTCTAAATAATCTGTGATATGCTTTTTCACTTCATATACTAAAGATTATAAATATACATCTCAAAGAATTACATCCTCCTAGGTGGTAGAATAATATAACTACATAGTCCAAAATGCCAGGCTTCTCATAAAAGTGGTTGAGGCAAATAGCTTCAATTTTCAGTGTAATATTATTAATAATCCTTTAAGGGTTATGGATGTAGTTCAGCAGTGCCATGCCTGCCTGGCAAGCACAGATCCTGAGTTCGATTCCCAATACTGGGGAAAAAAATTACCTAAAAGAATCAGGCAGTTATCCTAAAATCATGTTTAAAGATAAGAACAGCCTCTATGCTTTTAAAGAACCCAAAATAACTAGGTACAATTAACTAAACTTTACTAGGAACTGACAGACTTTCAAAAGCAAAATGCAAAAGAAAGATATGCAAGGACCTCCCCAAATAAGAATGGAAAATGATACATGGCAGTGATTAGTACAGGCAGCATAAATAAGGTACACTCACACAAACTCTAACTTATTCCAAGACAACTTTTGTACAAAGACTGTAAGAAAGCTTAAAATGCAGCCTTTTCACTAATGTAATTAGGATAATCTATGCTGGGCACCATGTCAAGGAGACAAAACTCTATCATAATGACTTCATTCCTGCCTCACTTTAGGCCATTCCATTATTGCCTTGGATAGTTTTGTGTGTGTGTGTGGTCACAAATGGAGGTCTCTTAACATTCTTTATTTCATAAATACATAGATATACTCAAAATATCTTAGTCAGTTTTATCTTAAAAGGTTTCACAGTCTCCTTTTGCTGCTAATCTAGTTTTAATTTACAGCTCTTCTTTCCGTAATACAAAGCTAGAGACTGAAACTTCCATTATGATTGTTTTCCTCTCCAAATACCCAAACTAGTGTTAGGAAAACTGAAATTCCACTTTTTCTTCAGCTTTTTTTGTTTGTTTTTTGTTTTGTTTTGTTTTTTGAGACAGGGTTTCACTATGTAGTTGAGACTGACCTAGAACTCATTATGTAACCCAGGATGGTCTCGAACTCAGAGATCCTCCTGCCTCAGCCTCCCGAGTGCTGGGATTACAGGCCTGCACCACCATGCCCGGCTCTCTTTTTCTTCAGCTTTGTAACTGTCTGATTCAGATTACTATCTTTAAATTAGCCATGAACTATGTCATTCCATGTGTGCTATAAATTCCAAAACTTTCTGTCCATTCCAAAAATACAGCCAGTAGAGAGGCAACCTGGTGCGAGGGCTCTGATGCCAACCAAGTTGGATTAAAATCCTGGCTCCACCACTTATTAGTTAGCCGATCTGGCATAAATTATTGCCCCTTCGAGTCTTTTATTTCTCCAAGAAGAAATACCTCCCTGCAGTAATGTAGTGCCTGGCACAAGATGAATCAAAGCCACCCTACTCTGACCAAGTGTTCTGCCTCATACCAATTCAACCCTGAGTTGTTTTCTTAGAGTAATGAAGCTTCAGAGAAGGACTATCCAATTAACATGCATGTGACCAGAGATAATTTCAATACTGGTCTGGGGAACCCACCTCCAGCCTTACTGCCCCTCACTGTGTCCCAGTCTCACTGTCCTCTTTTGAGTTCCCTGAATCCGGCCTACTCTTTCCTAGCTTAGGATCTTGTACATACTCGCTGCCTGAACAGAAACCTTTACCATCTCCCTTCTAGCTAATCCTTGTTCATCTTTCCAGCTCTATGTCGACACTATTACCTCCTGGAGGATTCCCTAATACTTCAGGCTTGTTATTTCCTTAAAGCACATCGCCTGTCATTATCTTCTTTTCCACCAAACTAGATTTATCTTTTTCTACTTACCCTAGCTATCAACATAGTACTTGTACACGGGAAGAGAAAGTACACATGCAAGAGAAAATAAAGATTTACAAATATATAGCTAATTGGCTTCTATTTACAAATGAAAAAGTAAAATCATAGCTTTGCACAGTGGCATTATCATAGCCAATGAGATTTATCTGAGTTGTGATTATTGCCAATTGAAAAGCAAAACCATAAGACATTTACTTTAGCTAACAAATACAGGTGGAATGCAATTACCAAAGTAGTTCACAAACATTACATTGTAAGGGTTAGTTCATATATTTCATTATATCTAAATGAGCCAGAAAATTTTGCCCCAAAATACAGCACCCTGTATGCTAATTGAAATTGGAAGTCCTGGAAGGACTTCCCTTATCTGCAAATAATTTCAGATCCTACAAAGAAAACACAATTGTCTTCTATCTCCACCTTGAAATTTTATTATCACAGAAAAGAACAATGAGAACAGCATCCATACATGGATGGACTTTGTCACAAGATGATGTGTGTACTTCACTTTAATTCCAATTTGAGTCATTTTACAAGATAATTTGTATCTCCAGGTCCATTTATTTCCCTAACAAACATTTAGAACCTCTCAAAATTGTCTAAATTCCCTCATTTACCTCTTCTCCTATGAAGGAGAGTACATAAGTAACTAAATCTCGCCGGGCCAGTCAGGTGGTGCCCTCCTATAACCCAAGATACTCGGGCTGAGACAGGCGGATCCCAGGGCCATGACAGCAGCATGAAGAAAGATCTGACTAATCATATATTCTCCAGGGGATTAAGGAATGGCTCCTGGGGGAGGCAGTGTCTGGGAATGGTTTAAAACATGGATGGAGCTGACAAGTGAACAACAGAGACATTCCAGGCAAAGAGAACAATGCGGGCTTAGGAATAGAGGCAGGAAAGAAGTGAGCAGGTGTGAAGAATAGATTAGCAAACGGGAAAGGTCAGTTGGGGCCACAAAGTGAAAGGTCTCTATGCTACAGGACTTTGTTCTCAGTAAAGCAAACAATAAGGAATTATCAGAGGTTCTGAGAAGAAAAGGGAATTGAATGGAGAGGAGAGTAATACGATGATGCATATAGAAAGCAGTCGACTGGGACCTGTGGGGAGCTGGAGGGACCAAGGGGTCTACTTTACCAGCAGTTGGGGGTGGGAACAGGAATAGGGGCTGCAATGAGGGCAAGGGCCACAGGAGTGAAAATAACGGATAAACTGAGGATGGAATCAATCCAACTTGCTAACTGCAAGTACAGGAGAAAAAAGAGCTAAGAATAATGACATTTCAAGCTTTAGAAACCATGTCTTTTTATTCCCTATCAAACCCATTATCTCATAGACATTTCCTCATATAAACCTTCCCGACTTTCAGGCTTTTCCATTCACTGTACCCCATATTCATATGCATATATACATATCACCCTGCTTATTTCTTTCGAGGCAATCACTATAATTTGTAATCTTCTTTACTTAATGTTTATTTGCTTATTATCTTTTTATTTCCCAACCAGAAAAGTAAGCTCTACAGAAGCAGTGTATTTGGTTCTCCAGTACTTATCCCTGGTGCATATGCAGATCCTCAATAAATATTTTCACTGATAATTAGGCTACTAGGAGAAAATCAGAGGAGGTCATCTAACCAGATGAGCCTGGTCCTCAATCAGGCCTACAGAACCTCCACACAGAAGCATCAAAAGGCAGACTGGGGTGTGACTAAAATGTACAACACTCTGTGCCTCAGTCTCCACATTTCTAAATTAAAGTACCTAGATTTCAGAGTCGCTGTGAAAATGTGCTAGTACCTGGAAAGTGTTTAAAATGCTACCCTGCATAAAAAGAGCTCAAGAAATACCATCTATTATTTCCATTGTGATTATTCTTAGGAAAGTTGGAATTGAAAGAGAGAAATAGAGATAAAGGTCCACAGATAATGGATTTGGGAATACCTACAAAGCTCTCCCACAGGAAGCCTGGAAGTGTACAAGCTCTTTTCTACTGAGGCAGCAAAAGGAACTAACAACAGGCAGATAGGAGTGGCTAGAAAGTCAAAGGCAACACATTTTTCTGGCCCTACTTGGGTGATTTTAATTCTCCCACTCTTTCACACAGGCATAAGTTCCTCTTTAAAACCAAACAGCTTTCTTTTACTTCCTTTCTTCCTCTTCTCCCCTTCATCCAGTAAAATCTTAGGGGAAAAATGGGGGTAGAAAAGGACATTGATCTTTTCTTTTCTCCGCCACTTAAATGAGTTCATCATCATCTCAGCTATGTATAGAAAACAAATATATAAGGTATTATAAGAGAAAGACAGAAAAGCAATCAATGAAGAAGGAACGTGAGCAGCCCAAGTACTCTCAGAGGCCTGATGCTGGTGGAGCACAGAGTCCCAAGGCCTGGACTCTGCTGCTGCTTTATCTCCTCCTTGAAATGCCTTCTTTACCAGACGATCAGAGCACCACAATCTCCTGGCTTTCCTTCCCTGGCTATTCCTGCTCAGTCTCATTGGCTGGCTCATTTCCCTGATTTCTAAGTACTGCAGTGGTGAGAAGACAATCTTTTTGCTGTTGTTTTGTGACAAGATGCCTTCACCCTGGCTGGCTTCAAGCTCCTAGGCTCAAGCGATCCTGTTTTAGCTGCCTGAGTCGTGAGGACTATAGACTTATGCCAACATGCCCAGCTAAGACCATCGAAAGAGAAAGGCCTTCTTCACTATCTCTTTTGTTGTTCTCTTCAGTTTTATGGTTTTACAGGCCATCTGCATACTGCCTGCTTCAAATAGGGATTTCCTGCTCTACCTTCCTTCTGAAATCTTGACTCAAATGTCACATCTGGAAGCAAGTTCCTCATCTCCCTCCTTTCCCAAGCTTACTTCTCCCGCAGACTTTCCCATGTTAGTAAATGACAATTCCATCTTTGCAGCTGTTCAGGTCAAAAGCGTCAGAATCACCTTGACTCCTCTTTATTCCACATCCCACATCCAATGCATCAAATGTATTTTTCAGCTGTATCAAAAATATCCAGAACTTGAGCGTTTCTCATATTTCCATTTCTACTATACTAGTTCAAGCCATCAACTCTAATCTGAATTTTTCCAATAGTCTGTTTTCACCTCATCTCTCTATTGTCTATTCTCAACCCAACAGCCTTAACATATCTGTTAAAACATTAGTAATAACATGTCGCTCTTCTGCCCCTAAACTCCAAAGGCTTCTCAATTTGTTTTCAATAAGGACCAAGTTTTTACAATAGCCCACATATCTCCAGAGTTTAGCCCCTTTTACTTCCACTCTGCCCTCTTCCGCTATTCCTTTTCTCAGACATATCTCTCCAGGCAAACTGGGGCCTTAAAACTGCTCCTGTCAGGCACAAACTTATCTCAGGGTTTTGCAATTAATCTTTCCTGAGCCCAGAATACCATTCCTCCTAGAATAGTTCTTCCCCAGTGCCTGGAAGAGTGCCTACCACACTGTAGGTACTAATACATAACTGAGTAAATGAATCTGGAGTTATGTTTAGTATGAGTTGGACATGGTTTTTCTCCTAAGGATTCATGTGTTGGAAGCTTGGTCTTTAGAACAGAAATGTTGGAAGGTGGTAGAACCTTTAAAAGGTAAAGCTTAGCAGGAGTTAAATTTGATTGTTTAGGGGCGCTGCCCTCAGAAGGGATTAATCCATGGAGTGAATTGTTACATAGAGCAAGACTGGCTTCCACCCTGCTCTCTGGCTTCCTATCTTAACACATAACCTCTCCCTATCACACATGCACCTGCCATTGTGTGATGGCAGCAAGTCAGGGCCTTTGACAGAGACTAAGCCACACTGCTTGGATTTTACACATCATTACTGTGAAAATAAGCCAAAATAAGCCATTCTTCTTTATAAGTATTCAGCTTCAGAATTTTTTGTTAATGGTAATAAAAAACCGACTAATATAAGATTACACATTCAATTTTTACTTTTTTTTTTTTTTCCTGGTACTGTGGATTGAACTCAGGACCTTGTGCTTGCCAGGGAGGCTCAGAAACACTGAACTAAATCCCCAACCCTTTTTTATTTAACACATGAACATTTTCATATATTGCAGGTGTACTTCAAGTCCATAATTTTTAAGCGCTAATAATACTCCATTTTATACATATTTGGAATTGAAAAACTGAGATATTTACAAATGAGCTACTTTGGAGGCCTCCTCTTTTGATCTTTCTGAATCCCAGTAGTTTCACTTCTAAAAATGAGAATATCTTCTTTCACAGGACTGTTGCAAAGCCTGAATGTGGAATATATAGATAAAGCCCATCTGTTTTGCTATTGCTACTTAAAAGTACAAAAGCATCACTATGTAAACAAAGATCATAGATCTTGGAAACAACAGATTAAAATGTGAATCACGGTATTGTCCATTAATAACTTGATCAAGGCAACCACTATGAACCTCAATTAAATCATTAATTTCAAAAAGGGAATGTAATAATTCAAAACAAATATGTAGGGCTAGGGGTGTAGTTCAGCAGTAGATTTTCTGCCTAGAATACACATACACAGAGCCCTGGTTTAGTCCTCATCAGTTAAAAAAAAAAATGTGTAAGAGTTTAGCGTAAAACTTGACCCACAGTGCATAATCAATAAATGTTCATTCATTCACTGCTAATAAACAAAAACTGGGATCTTTAGTAATGTAAACCATTGTGGAGGGGGTACATACCTGTAACCCCAGGCTGAGGAAGAAGGATCACTGTAAATTCAAGGCAAGCCTGGACTACATAGGAGTTTGTGGCCAGCCTAGGCTATATAGTGAGACCATGTCTCAAAAAAAAAACCCCACAAATAAAATAAAATTATCAGCCATGGATTTTTACATTCTATTACATACATATTTCTTAAATACATTATAAAAATTGTCAAAAATTTAACTTTTGATGAGCAGTTACCTAACATTTAACAAAACGATATTTTATATAAATCTCTATTTTGTTGTAGAAATATTAGGTACAATTATTTTTAATTATTGTGCTCGGTTCAGCAGCACATATACAATTATTTTTAATTATTGGTTAAGTCCTTTATTATTAATTATTATATAAGTCCTTTCTATTATGTGCTTTAATGTGTAATATAAATCAGGTAGTAAATTTTTATGACGATGACAAGTTTAGCAAAAAAAAAATATTCAATGGACTTGCCTCACTGCAGGATTATGTTTTAAAACAATTTATAATAGCCACGTAAATGCTAAGAAATTAGAAATT